AAAAAAAAAAAAAAAAAAAAAAAAAAAAAAAAAAAAGAAAAAAAAAAAAAGTTTTTTGGGGGGGGGGGGGGGGGGATATCTTTATTGCCATTTATTGATCATCTGGATTTTGTGACTGGTTTCAGACCTTCCAGCAAGGTGCAAACCGTAGTTTTCAATGTCCTTGTTTTGGAATGTTTTCATTCCAAATTTGAAAACCTGAGGTAAAACCTCTCTGAAAACTGGAGATGTATAAACGTAGGCTATAAAGAAGAAGAATTGACAACTAAGCAGGCTGACGGCACTCTGTGATTTGTTTGCCAACTTGCTAAATATATAGATAAAACCAAGACTAGCTTGTCAATTGAGGGGAAAAAATGCTTCTCTCCTAAAACACCTGGTTGGTTTTGCCTCACAGTACTTAGAATCACGCTTTGCTTTTGATATTGATATTTTTCATTCTTATACAGAGATGAATGTAAAGGATGGGCTTTCAAACCTTCCCGACAGCTTAAGCCTGCGTTAAATTTAAAGCATAAGGCACATAAAACGTGGCAAGCTAAGGAATATGCATGAACTCTGAAAAGTCTTTTTCCTTTTTGTGCAACAAACTTTTATTTCCTACAAAATGGAAGCTTTGATCGTGATACCAAAATACCCGCACATTTCGGAGCATAAGACACACTCCCCCCACTCCAAAAGAGGGTGGGAATGTTGGTGCGTCTTATACACCAAAACCAGCCATTTTTGGCCTCCCAAAACCCCGCCCCGCAATCCCATTTTCACTAAACATGGGCCCATTTTTCACACAGAAGGTTTGGGAGGCGTGCAGAGTGCTCCTAGCGGCTGGGGAGGGCGAAATGGAATGCGTGAGGGGTTTGGGAAGCCAAAAATCGGCCTGTTTTTCTCAAAAATAGGATGCGCAGAGGGTTTGGGAGGCCTGCAGAGTGTTCCTGGGGGTCGGGAAAGGCAAAAACTATTTTTTCCCTTGTTTTCCTCTTCAAAATCTGGGTGTGTCTTATACTCTGGTGCTTCTTATAGTCTGAAAAATTTGGTACTTTGAAAAGCATGATTGCTCATATAGGGGCAATAGGGGGAGATTACCATTTTCAACCATGGAAATGTGGGGGTGGGAGAGATGAACTTCCATCAGTGTGAGTAATTTGCTGAAGAAGAAGCTTCAAAGTGCTTATAATCCACAAGTCACTTCAGGTTAAATAAAAAAATAGGGTGCACGCATTCACATGTAAGCATGCATTTTCTACTTTGAAATAAATGGGGCAGTGCATGTTCACAAAAGCATTGTATGTATATTGGAGAGCGTGTGACTGCAATCACTAACTCACTAACGTTGGTCTAAATGGTTAAGTCTTAAAAAGGAACTATTTGCCTTAATACTGATCCATCCCAGTTAGCCAGAGAACTTCCAAGAGACAAACCAAATTCTTGGATCCAAGCTTAAGTGAGATGTTTTTTAATTAAGGTAACTAAATAAAAGGCTGGGCATTCAGGATTTTGTGGATTCACTTTTGGCCGTCTCAAATTTAAAAAGAGGATATGGGAGGGGGGGAAAACACACGACGACGCTGCTAAGATATGTGAGAAGCTCATGGTAGCCATCAAGGGCTCAATGGAGGAATATTTGATTATAATTATTTGAACTTAGCTCTGATCTGGCCTGCTTGAAAATAGGATGCTGATTCTAGGCAAACTGACCTGAAGATAAATTCTACTGGATATAGTATGGGTTCTTTCTAAGACACACACATGGCATAACTCTGCTGTAGGCCTTTATTATAAAACACCAGCTGAAATTTTCAATCCGATCTGTATTGGTCATCTGATATTGATTTAAACTTCAGCTTTCAGAAACCTGTTGAAGTTTGCTTTGATGCAGAGGTTACTGTCACTATTCACAAGCTAAAAAAACTGCTAGCTTGAAAAAAAGGTGCAGATGCAATATATTCTACAAAACGAGAGGTGTGATGTGCCCCCTGTTGTACCAGTGCCAGAAGATCAGAGATTACTCAGATGAAAATTAATTTTTTTTGGAATGTATGATCTGAAACGAAACAGAATAAGCCTGTTCTGGAAATCTGAGTGGAAAGAGGGACAAAGAAAAATTCTTTTATACAAGTGAAAATGCTATTGATTTCACCTGGGTACTTCTGTTAGTTTACTTCTATCAATTTATGCTGGTTCCATTCAAGATTCAAGGCAATTCACAATCTAATAAAAACAACCCAAATAGTAAAACCACAAACGCTATCATGCACATCATTTGGTCCTCGTATTTTAAAGTTCATAATAAAAATACCTCCGTCATTCCACAAAAGTAACCAGTCTTAAAACCGTGCGTTAGACATCTGCCATCT